TAGCTGTTTCTCCTGTAAATTTGGATGATTGAATACCATATTTTGATGGTTATACATCTTATTGTTATTATACTTAATATTCCCCTTTTTCAGATTCAGAAATACAAGAATTAGATTTTCTATCTGAACGAATAGTTTTAGTCTATTACTATTAAGGTTAAGTTGTGTGATATTTTTAGTATTTTGAAAGTGTATTTTAACTGCAATTATCCATTTGATTCTGAATTCTCTTTTAATGATAATATACACTATCTTGCAATTTGGCTTTTTTCATTTAAATACTAATTAATTCATCTTTCTCTTATTTAGAAATGATATTATTAGGAGTATTTTTACTACCATTGCTGCTGTATGGTAAAGAAAACACATTACCACTAGAATTTTTATCTGAAGATCCATTAAAATTCTTTCTATTAATTGAAACATCCTTTAATAATTAACCATAAGAACTATGAGATATTCCACTAGGTGGTTATTGAACATATTAAACTGGACTAATATTTGGAATATCCATTAATTAATGTTATTGTTATTATTATTGTTATTACTATTGTTAAAGAGAATGCAATGAATCACGAATTGAATTTTAGGATCCTCTCTTAGGTGTGTATTAGGATTATTGAAGAGAATTTTATCCCTCTATATAAGGATGGCTAGCTTCTGCTAAATAAGGTTATTGGATACTAATCACTTCATCTTAATATTTTTTATTATCATCAGTGTTATCTGACTCAAAGTTTTATTGTTGATATAGAAGAGCTGCTTCTTCAATTTTAAGTATATTAGATTTTAATCTTTTTTATTTTTGTCTAACTTTACTTCTGAAATAATTTTTACGAATTTATAAGTCGTTTGATTATATATATTAAACAATAATTGATTTCTTTGGAACATAATGTACATGATCACATTCATCAATATCATGAAATTTACCACATACATAACAACACAATTGACATAAACTATAAACTTCATAAAGTACAATTTGATCAACCATCATCTTGTATTTTTATCTCTCTTAATAATGAGATTTAATACAATCTAAAAATTATTCTAAATCTAATTGAGCTATTTAAGAATATCCTATAGAAGTTGCATTAATATTGGAATATGTATTTTTAAAGAATGCCTAATTGTTAAATATTGAATCCTTTCCAATTCTCTTTATTTTAAAGTCTGTATTAGAAGATCCTTCTTTTTTTTATGATATTTACACTTCCCCTGATAGAATTATGAACAATTATTAATTAGATGTTTATTACATTAAAACTATTTGATTAGGAACATAAGTGTACTCTTGAATTAAACTGCATATTTATCTTAAAGTGTTTTCTGAAAAGGAACATTTAAATATAGGTATTTTTTAGAGCAAATGAAAGTAACGTTAAAATTTTATATCATCTACATATGTTTATGGTAAATGAGATAAAAAATTCATATCCGTTGATTATTGAGAGTTCAATTTATTTATATAAGCTTTTATTTATTATTTCGTATCATATTATATTGATAATTTATGTAATTCAAGATTTTCTTTAATAGTAAATCTATAAATACAATAGCAATAATAAATTAATATAAAAAGTCTTATAATATAAGTTATTGCATTGCTTTCATTTGATTTATATAAAAATATAATGAATTCATCATAAAAATTAAGTTATTATTTATTATGATTAAATTGAAGGATAGTCAATGCAATAAATTAGACAAAGTGAAATTCCAAAATATAATAAATATATTATACAATCTTACCATATATTAATTAAAAGTCTTTCATTAACTATCTTAATTTTAATAGTCTTACAATATGCAAGAGCTATATGAATTGCATTTACTCAGATGCTAATACAAAAATTACAGGAATTAAGGCAATTATATCAAAAATTGATTACTTTTTAAAATACATTTATGTTAATTATTGAATATTATTGATTATTTCACCATTTTCATACTATACAAATATAATTTGATTCAATGAGTATATTACTTAAAAGACAATTAATAAAATCTAATAAATATGTTATCCTTATAAACTATCTTATAAATTAATCAACATTTAAGTTATAAAGAAACATAAATACATACAATATATAACATTACTAGTATGATAATATAGATTTTATTTTTTAGGTTGGAAACACTTATTTATTGAATTATTCTAATCAAATTCAGCAGCCTTATCACATAAAATGTTTAGTTAAAAGGATGGATGAGTATTTACAGTTTTTAATGACATTAGTCTACTCCATTAAACATCACTATATGAATTCTATGGTTTTTCATCAATTAATATGCTTTATTAACTTAAATTATTCTTTGAAACTTTATGAGTTTTCTTACAACAGTCACTTATTTAAATAGATTGCTCTTTATTACTAGGTTCTTCATTAATCAGAAGTAAATCCTTGATCTCACTTTAAGGTGGTCTATCTGATGCAATTTAAGGTGTTACACTTGTAGTTGGAGGTGATCGGATCATTTCTTAAGCAGCATCAGATGGCTTTCTGACTTATAGTTAATGTTAATTGACAACAGTCATTTTTTAAACTATTGGTTGGATTTATGTATAGATGGATTCATCCATTGAAATAGACATAGATCTTGAGGAAGAACCTTATTACGCATTTATTTGAGGTTGTACAAGCATAATATTAGTTTATTTAAATTACTACTCAATATAATATATTTTAATAATAAGCTTTTGTAAATCAAAAGTCTATTGATAATAATTTAATATAAAAATGTATATGTAATATTATTAGGTTAAATCAATAGATTAATTTTAAACAAAGTAATCTATCATTATTAGTTGAATAATATTTAAATTCATTTTCATATAAATCTATAAACATACTTTTCATATCAATTATTAAAATAGAATATTTTCAATCTAAAATAATAGATTATTATACTTTTAATGAGTATTCTTCTAATTAATAGAAAATATTCAATAATTCAATTTTAATTCTATGATTGTATTTTTAATTAAATTAAATAGCACTACATCTACAAATTATTTAACTAAAATTTAATTTAAGTTCATAAATGATTTTAATTTCATCTTATATATATGTTTTATCTATATATTAAATTAGATTTAAATTTAAATTTTAAGTTGTTCATTCTCCATATATGTAATTCATCATCGATTAACAAATCTAAGTTTCAAACTTATAATTATAATTAATAAAAGAATGATAAGGTTTTTTTCAAATATAAAGCTGAGTTATCAATGAAATCTAAAAATTCACAATATACTTTAGAGTTAATGTAGTATATAGATATGAGAATAAGATTTGAAATAAAGTATAAATATAAAAAATAGATAAAATTCATATTTAGTTTAATGTTTGTAGATTTATTAAAAATTAAGTCAGACAGATAAATAAATAATTTATATACTTTATGATACTAATAAGAATAAAGAATAATCACTTACTACTGTTCCAAATTGATTAGAAAATGATTTGCAATATATTTCTTATGAAGCTTTAACAACTTTTGTAACTATAAATTGTCCTATTTTGTGTTATAATGAACATCTAAAAATAATAAATATATAATTCCCAAGAAAAGTATTTTAAAATAAGATACAGAATACTAAGGATAATAATTATAATTGAAAGAAATAGCAAAAAAAATATAAAAATAGCATAAGTTAAATTATAATATTAAGATTATATTAATTAACGCATGTTCTAATAGATACTGGCTTTAAGATTTAAATAATAAATTAAAAAAAGAGTTCCCTTAATAAAGAGAGAGAGATTGAATTTTATAGTAAAGATTAACTAACTCTGAGAAAGTTAATTAATATCTGAATGTTTATAAACTTTTAAAGTAATAATAATTTAATATTATAAATAATAATGAAATTTAATTTAGAAGTCTTAAGTTTTAATGATTTATTTATACTTGAATTAAACTTTAAATTAAGAGATAGTTAATATAATGATCAAATAAATGTGGAAATGAAAATTATGAAAGATATATTCATTTAAATAATATATTAAAAAAGAATATGTTTATTTTTACTTAAGTTTTTAATTTGGTTATATAAAGCAAATATATCAAAACATAAAAAGAAGTGATTAATGAATTCAAAATATTTCAAAGTAATAAGATTATTGTATGTTATTGCGATTATAAATTAATGATCAAATATTAGTAATAATTTGTTCAGTATGAAAATTAGAATTATCGTCAAGTAATCAAAAAAACTGAGAAGTTCAATATTTGCATATGTAAGATGTCAGATTAGAAAAATATTTAATAAAAATAAATTATGGAAGGTAAATCATGATAGTTTTCTTTAGGTTTAAAGAATTTTTTAGACAGAAACAATAGCATCTTATCTGAAGTATAGATTGACATCCATCAAATTTTCAGGAAGACTTTCTTCTTCTTCAAAACTGTAGATATCTTCATCTAATCGAAAAGACTAAATTCTTTGTCGTTAAGCTAATTTTTAATTGACATTTTGAGAAGTGTATAGTTTCTACATCATCTTATTTTTCTTATAGATTGAATTAGCTATGCTATAACGAGATTATGGGTCAAAGATAGGCTTTGGATCATAATCAGAATTGAAAACACTCTTACTACTATCAAAACTTTCTGATTGAAATTTATTTGTTTTGCTTTAAATTCTATATTTGTTGACCTACATTTATATAGATTTGACTTTTTAGATTGAAGGCTCTTCTTCTAAAAGTGTATAAAAGTAACTCTCTTAAATTTTATTAATCATTAAAACTAATTATTGAACATATATATATTTGAAAATGATTATTAAAAGAATAAATAAAATATTGAAATGTTTTTATATACAATAATTAAAACAATGAGTAATAATATGTTTTATATTCAAATATATACTTTATTTTTAACTTTTTCTATCTCTATTTATAATTAGTTTGTCACACATTTAAGAAGAATTGTTAGAAATTTAATGAATATAAAAAAATAAGGATTGTATTCTAGATTTCAATTAAAAAATGGAATAAAGATAATTTAGTTTATGTTAAGACACTTAGAATTAAGAGAAATATCTTTGTCTGAATAAAGAATGTTATACTTCAAAGAAGAAGCAATTGCATTGTCATGAGTGTTTAGTGAAATTACATAAGACAGATAAAAATAGCATTAAACATTATGAAGAATTTGTTACTTTTGATTCTATTATCAATGATCTAATAAGAAGAAATAATAAGAAGTTAGAATTATATAATTAGATGATAATTGATGCACATCAATTCAAAAAAGATAAATTCAAAGAATTGTGCACTTTAAGTAAATATTAACATACTTATTATAAATTAGAATCATTTTCTAGTAAGAGTTCAGAGTTTCAGAATTAAGTATTCAAAAAGATTGAATAATATGTAGAAGAAAGTCCAAAATAATTGAATTCTTAAGTTTCTTTAGTTCGATAAGGATTACAATTTTAAAAAGACAAACTTCAATTTAATATCGAGTAGTACTTATCGAATGATACAAAATTTGAAGATTCCTTAAAACAAATATTAGAAGAGATCAAGAAGAATATTGAAACTTATATAGCTTCAATCGAATTACAGGATTCTTAAACAATTAAGTAAAATGTGATTGTGAATACAGGAAGAAAACCATCCAATAATTATAGAAAAAAATTGCTGATTTAGAAGGAGTAAAGACTATGCCCAAAACAGATTATTTTCCTAAAAATATCACTATTTTTATTATCATCATTCCAATGTTCTATTTAATTTATACTATTTAATAACTTGATACTTAACTTTTAAAGTAAAATTAATTATTGATTTTAGACTCTAAATGAAGTTAGATTAATAATCCTTATAGATTCTTGAGTTGTAAAAATTGTTAATATAGGAGGTTAAATAATCAAAGAAAGAATAAGATAATTAAATAGAGACTTTACTTAAATAATCTCATGATTCACTTTAAAGTAATAATGAACTCAAAGATATCTTAATAAATAATGATTCTAAATTAGTATTAAAAGTAATACAATTATAGAAAAAAACAGATGAAGAATTTAATAAAACAAAAAATATTCTATAAGAATTAATACATAAGAATCCATAAAAATTGGATATGGAATTTAAAACTAATGTAGAACCCATAACATTTAATGAAAAATCAGAAATTTTAGAAACAGATTATATTATAAATCAAATTATTATTGGATAGTAATTGAATTTCACTAAAGCTGAATTAATTTACAAAAGTAAAAGAGATGGACTTACTTTGAATGCCTTCTGGTTAAGCATGAGGAAGTATGGGTCTACTTTATTAATAGCCAAATTTCATAATTTTCAAATAATTGGAGCATTTACATTGCCTCCTTACATTCCATCATTTTATGGAGATTATATGGTTGATGGTGCCAAAAAGTCATTCCTATTCTCATATACAAAGAATAAAATTTATAAACTAAAAGATGATAGATTTACTTTATATTCTAAATATATGGTTGGACCATAATTTGGATAAGGTCCAGATCTAAGTTTATAAGGATCCACATTCGATCAATGTTCAAGTAATATTGGATACACATATGAGTATGGTTATGAGAAGGGTGAATCCATAATAGATGGATCACCTAAAATAATAGAAATGGAAGTATTCTTATTGAGTTGATTGAAAATACATTCTGTTTATTTTTATCTAAATTACATTAAATCAAACATGATGAATATACTTTTATTATATTATCCCTTTTTTATCCAATTTTAAAAAGATTATTATATACATCTATAAATTCTGCTTTATGTAAATATGAATCATATTGAGGGTACTTTTAAACAATAAAATGGGTAATATATTCTAGAGAAATTATGTTTATGTAGAATTATTGAATTAATATCATTACTGTATTTTTAATTATACAACATAGTTCAATCATACCTTATTTTTATGAATAGTTATATATATATCATCTCAAATAAAATCCAAAATATTTGTATAATTAACTTTGCATCCATTTTCAAAAACATTTTTAGTTTCAATTACCATTTTTATAACATTATTATTTCTAAAGATGCATCATTCTTCTATAATTTTAAAATATCAAATTATTATTTCACTAATTTCTAATATAATTAACACTCCCATAGTTATACTACAATCTTTTTCAAGTTTCACATTATCCTTATTGATTTAGTTTAATATTAAAGACATTTTAATTATTATTTAATTTATGAATTACATTTTAGTGGAACAAGATGAAAGACTTTAATTATTGATAAGTATTGTAAAGAGAATTAAATCTAATACTGTTGTAGTTTTCTCTGAAAATTAAATTAATGTAACTAAATTCCCAATATTTAGTTTTTGTAAGAGTTGTTCATCTTAATGGGAATTAAAACAAACTTTAGAACATAATAACAACCATCTAATTAAACATTATAAATTTATTATGATCCTCCTCTGTAAGAAGTTAAAAGTGGTTTAATATTTGTTTTGCCTGAAGAGAAGATACCTAATTGTAATGAAAGCAAATTAGAAAAAAATAAATTAGAATAATTTGCAACTTAGGAAGTTATGAAATTAGTATCTCATAATTATAATCTAAATTGTTTAGCTGAAAAGGCATATAAGGATTTTGTATATGTATAATAATATATATATATATAAATAGATTTATCAACATAAATTAGATCAAAATAATTATGATGTTTTAAAATTGAATCCCATGAGATTATGTAAATCCTTTGGATTTGATGTAACTCCAAAATTGAATAGTAAATTTAATTTTTATTTAATATTTTAGATTTTAAATTAAGATCAAGTAAAGAATACCCATAAAAATAGATTAAAACTAATTAAATAAAATCTAAATAAATAAAAAAACAACCAAAAATATTTAATTAAAAATAACATAAAAAATGATTATGTATATATATAATATGTTTGTATAATAAGTATTTAATATTTAAATGAATATCTGAATCATTAACTACTAATAGATCTTTTTATTCCTGTTATTGGTCTAAATTATTATTATTATAATTTTTAAGGACTTGTAAATAATTTTGGTGCTGCTGATTATAATCTACTAACAGGAGATTATAATCTACTTGCTGCACTAAATAATCGAGATCCTTTAACAAAAGTAGTTGTTGTTGGATATGATTCTACATCTGAAATAAACCTTTGATATATGGTTTCATTAAATTGACTAATTATATTCAATGACTTTTTATGAGTAAAATGATTTTTAGGTAAATACTTTTCTAATTGTAATCCTTTCATAATAGGTAAATCATGTTTAGTTTACTTTGCTTAAATCAATACTTTTCTTAATAAATGATTATGTTTAAAATTTAATTTGATTTAATGATTAAATTATTTGTATGATTCAAGTATTTTATCTTCTTTAGTTTCTTTTTAATCATCAATATGATTAGATGTATTCTACTTTGCATATTTTAATAATTTAGATGCTGGGAGATAATTATGATATGTCTTAGGAATATCATGTTTAAATTCAGAATAATCAATAGATATAATAACTTCTTTTTTGCATTATTACATTCTTGTCTTCCAAAATTATGCTTTAATATGATAATTCTAACAAAATGTTTCATACATACAACTAGAATTTAAGAGAATCTTTAATTGATGATATCCAATTCTATAATAAGTAATATGTTAAGTAACAATTGCTTTGTGCTATCTAAATTCATTACCTTCCACAAATTCCATTTCTCCAAAAACACATTTAGGTCCCAATAATTATAATTCTATATCTTATTATATTAATTTGATCTCCCCTTAAACTATTAAGTAAAATGAATCAGCTAATTATTTTTCCTAATATAAAATTGTATTATTAATAGCTTAATCTTATTTGAATTGATCTAATTGATTTTTTAATCTTTAAATGCTTATTTTATTAAAAACAGAATATTATTATATAAGATGTAATTTCTAAGCTAAAAGATTTTCATGATATTCTCTAATAAGTTCATTGTATCCTTCATTATTTAGTATTAGAACCCAAGAATCTCTTATAACTGAACCAACTTCATTTATAGTATCTGTTTAAACAAATGTTCTTTAACCTATTTAGATTTCTCCACTTAAGATGATTTGAAATTAAGAATCACATTAACTATTTGCAGGTAGGAATTATAATGTTAATTGATGTATGATCTTCTCAATCAATCTTATTGACATTCCTTCTGTAATTTCCTTTAAATATGGTATTTGCTATAAGAATTTCTTCAATTATTCAACTTCAGAATAATTTTTATGAGATCTTCCTAAAAGAGATCGAAAATACTGCAATATGGGTGTTGAAATACATCAAAATTCTATAATATTGAATAATTAGTGGATTCTAATTTTCTTTTCATTTGACGATCCAATTCTAATGCTCCTAACATCTTTACTTTCTGTTTGACTGTTTTCTTCATTATTATTAATTATGAATAATTATAATAAATCAGCTAAACAAAGAATAGAAATAGATATTCTAAAATAATATTATTCAGAATCTGCAGCACAATTCAATAGACATTAAGATGCAATGCAATTAATGTTAAATAAATCTGAAAGAGAAAAATAAGAAGCAACAAAGAAATTTTAATTAATTAGCAGAAACTTTGATTCAACTAATAATTATCAAATAACCTAAGAGAATAATACATTATTTAAAACAGCTAAATATGCAATAAATGGTTTTGAGAATCAACCCTAAAATTAAGAAACTTCACATTATTTTTAATAAGAACTTCCTTATAATACAACTAAAGTATAAGTAGTAAAGAGGGAACCAAGTGTATAAACTGTTATAGTCAAAAATTAAAAAGAATTACAGGAAGAATCAAAAATCTATTTTTTAGAAGAGAATAATATTATACATTCATAGAGTATAATTAATATTATGAATGATTTGAATTATTATAGAAGAGTGTAGACCAGTTAAGATAAATAATCTGAAATAGAATCAATTAAACCTAAACCTTATAAAACTGAAGGATAATCTGCATCAGTTTCATTTACTAAAGAAATTTAAAAGAATAATGAACCATAATCATTGGAATAATAACATGAACCAATACATCATATTGAATTTAATAAAAAAGAATAAATTAAAGAAGAGAAGATTGATCTCTAAATAGATGACTTATTGGAGGAAATATAGGGATTAGTAGATAATTCTTCTAAAAATCAAGTATAATAATCATTAGTGTCTTCAAAATTGAAATAACAAACAGAGAGAAATTAAATATAATTAGTATTAGATAGAGGAGAGAATTTCTAACCTGTTTAATTATTAAATACTTAAATAATTTTACAAGATTCAAAAGTATTAGATAATAGAATCAAAGATTAAAATTTGGAAAATTTAGATAGATTGATATTTGAATTATGTAATTGATTATAATTTATAAATTAATTTAAAATTCTTTCATAAGTAATACATAATGTAAATTTATTAAAGAATTAACTTTTTTATCAGATTTTATCAGAAAATTTTGGCTTAAATACTCCATTTTAGGATCATTTCATTTTCAATATTAATTATAAAAAATAATATAAGAATGGTTAACTTCACTGTAGATTAAATAAGAGAGATTATGAATAAATAATAAAACATCAGAAACATGTCAGTCATCGCTCATGTGGATCATGGAAAGTCTACATTAACAGATTCTTTACTCTGTAAGGCTGGAATCTTATCAGCTAAAGAGAGTGGAGACAAAAGGATGACTGACACAAGAGAAGATGAATAGTTAAGAGGAATTACAATAAAATCTACAGGTGTATCATTGTATTATGAATATGATATTAACTACAATAACACAAAAGAGTAGTTTTTAATCAATTTAATTGACTCTCCAGGACATGTAGACTTTAGTTCAGAAGTCACAGCTGCTCTTAGAGTAACTGATGGAGCATTAGTTGTTGTAGATTGTGTAGAAGGAGTCTGTGTATAAACAGAGACAGTATTGAGATAAGCTATGTAAGAGAAGATAAAACCAGTAGTGATGATAAATAAGATTGATAGAGCAATACTGGAATTAAAACATGATGGTGAAACCATGTATTAGAACTTTGTTAAAGTTATTGATAATGTTAATGTGATTATTGCAACCTATCAATAAGAAGATATGGGAGAACTATAAGTACAACCAGAACTTGGATCAGTATCCTTTGGATCAGGTAAAGAATGCTGGGCATTTTCATGTACAAAGTTCGCTATGATTTATGCTTCAAAATTCAAAGTAGAACCAAAGAAATTATAAGAAAGATTATGGGGTGATAATTATTTTGATGATGAGACTAAATGTTGGAGAAAAGAGAGTGAAGGAACTTCAGGAAAATAATTAAAGAGAGCTTTCGTTGCTTTCATTATGGATCCCATATGTAAATTAGCTAATGCAGTCATGGAAGGTAATATGGAAATGGCTAATAAGATGTTTAATGTCTTAGGGTTGAAACTTACATAAGAGGAATAGAAATTAAGTGGTAAACAACTTTTAAAGACTGTTATGTCAAAATGGATTAATGCTGCTGACACTTTGATTGAAATGATTATATGTCATTTGCCTTCACCAAGAGAAGCATAGAAATACAGAACATCTTATTTATATGAAGGACCTTAAGATGATGCTATAGCTTAATCAATGAGAGAATGTAATCCTAAAGGACCTTTAATTATGTATGTATCAAAGATGGTACCAACATCTGATAGAAGTAGATTCTTTGCTTTTGGTAGAGTATTTTCAGGCACTATAGGTACAGGATAAAAGGTTAGAATTATGGGTCCTAATTATTAACCTGGTAGGAAAGAAGACTTATTTGAAAAGACAGTTCAAAGAACAGTATTGATGATGGCTAGTAAGGTTGAATACATTCCTGATGTCCCATGTGGTAATACTGTTGGTTTAGTTGGTGTGGATGATGTCTTGTTAAAGACTGGTACTATCTCAGATCATCCAGAAAGTCATTTAATCCGATCAATGAAATATTCAGTATCACCTGTTGTTAGAGTAGCTGTCTAACCTAAAAACCCAGGTGAATTACCAAAATTAGTTGAAGGTTTGAAGAGATTAGCAAAATCAGATCCATTAGTTCTTTGTACAACAGAGGAAACAGGATAGCTTATAGTAGCAGGATGTGGAGAATTACATGTTGAAATATGTTTGAATGATTTAGAGAAGGACTTTGCTAATATTGAAATAATAAGATCAGATCCAATTGTATCTTATAAAGAGACTATTTCAGCAACATCAAAAATTGTATGCATGGCAAAATCCCCTAATAATCATAATAGAATTTATGCTTAAGCTGAACCACTTCATGAAAATCTTTAAGATGCAATTGAAAGAGGAGAAATAACAGCAAAAGATGATAATAAAGAAAGAGCTAAATTACTATCAGATTAATATGATTGGGATAAAGATGATGCTCTTAAAATATGGTCATTTGGTCCTGATAATTCTGGTGCAAATATTCTATTAGATAAAACATCAGGAGTCTAATATATGAATGAAATAAGAGATTCAATGGAATCTGCTTGGTAACAAACAACCAAATTAGGTGCTCTTTGTGAAGAAAATTAAAGAGGAATTAGAGTTAATATCTTAGATAGTGTGTTACATGCTGATGCTATCCATAGAGGAGCAGGATAGATTATACCAGCATCAAGAAGATTATTTAGTGCCTGTTAACTAACAGCAAGGCCTGGATTATAAGAACCTGTATTTTTAGCAGAAATCACTGTTCCTATTGATTCAACTGGTGGTGTGTATAATTGTTTAAATATGAGAAGAGGAATAATTATAGAAGAAGAATAAGTAGCAGGAACACCTTTATCATTAGTAATTATATCAATTAAATATTTTTTAGATTAGATCATATTTACCTGTTTCTGAATCTTTCGGATTTACAGCCCATCTTAGAGGTCTTACTTAAGGTTAAGCTTTCCCTTAATGTATGTTTGATCATTGGGCTGTATTAAATGGTGATCCATTTGAAGTTGGTTCAAAACTTTATGATTTAGTGTTGAATATAAGAAAGAGAAAAGGAATTAAGATCTCATTGCCAGATCTTAATGAATTTTTAGATAAATTGTGATTTTTAATTTAAATATTTGTTGTAAATTTTAAATAAATATAATTTAATTCATTCATTTATTGATTTAATCAATAATGCAAAATAATTCATCACACACAATTTTTGTACCTTCTAGATTATCTGAACAATTGAAATTAACCAATTAAAATTTAGATCATATACAAGAGCAAAGCTTACTTTTATTTCAATAATTTCAAACTCTAGAAAATACTAACTTAAAATAACATGCTATTCTAACATTAATGGATACTTTACTATTCTATAAATCTACTCATCCTATCTTTAATAAAATGTTTATATCATTTATCACACTCATGAATCAAATTTTGGACTCTCAATTAAGTTTCTCAGATATAAAATAATGGTCATAATTAGTAATATCAATAATTTCAGTTATTTAAAGACTTATTAATAATTATTTATTGATTGGATAAAAGAGAGACTCAACCATATAAGCTTTAAAACTTAAAATCAATTCATCTAAGTATGATATTTAAAAATATTGTTTATAACTTTAAAATGAAAAATTACAGAAATGGTAATTATATGAAACCAATACATTTATTTAAAAACATTTTGATACAAAGAAAATAGATCCTAATTTTCTTAAAACATCAATTTCTTAATTGGAAGAGGAGGAAAACAAATTAAATTTAGAAATTTAAAAACTTAATGATGCTTATTAATTTTTAAACATTGATTTTCTAGAATATTAAAGAAGATTGCTTAGAAGTTTTAATGAAATATTTAAAATTATCAGCAAATTAAATTCTGAACTTCAAGATGATAGATTATTTGAATTCATTTAGGATTAAAAAATTGAATTCTGGAGAACTTATGCATAAGAATATACGGATTTAATAAATAATTGTAGAAGCACATATTCTTCAATGCTTGGTACAATTGAAAGATTATATATGAGTATTCAAAATAATGAAGAAAATATGAAATTTTGGATTGATGTATTAAAATCTCTAAAAGGATAAAAGTAATTACTGAATGAGATCAAAAGTATTATGCTATATACATTATAATAATTTCCCTAAGAGAGCGCTGCTGTCTTAAATGAATTAGACAAAGCAATTTTGTATTAGATAAACAAACTAGCGTTGTGATTAATATTTTTTATATAAAAAAAATGTCAGACGATGATCAATTTTCTCTTCATAGCTTTGATCCAGATTAAGAAAAGAATATTGAAAATGAAATTGACTAATTCTATAAGGAATTAAGTCTTCAATTTTATGGTGAGGATAAGAAAAAGAAGGTTTCTTTACTGATGTCAGGTTCGACTCAAGTATAATTGGAATCTCTACATTCTAGGAGACAAGCAAGCCCAGTAGAGACACGTTGCCAGATGTAAAAAAGGGTTTTATGTATGTGACTCCTCTATCTACTCGACCAGGCAGTCCAAGAGTTGGTCGAATTCAAGTGCAAAAGAGAGCGACAAATTAAAACAGTTCAGGGAGTCCTTCAAAGTTGAAACCTCTATAAACAAAAAAACTTCTCTAGCTCTTGCAGTCACCTTACAATTCGAAGAACACTTAGAAACAAGCTTTCCTGAAAAAATAATTGGATATGATAAAGCGAATACAGATTTAGGAATTAAAAGAACATTATTATAAATGATAGAAATAATTTGTTCCTTTCTTAGAACTATATATTTCTCGTGTCTTTTTTTTGAAAGTCGTTTATAAATATAAATTTATCATCGAACAAACAAAAATTCGAAAAATCTAACATTTCTAAATAATACCTTAGACTTTCTCAACTTATTAGACACAAGATAAAGTGAGAATTTTTGAAAGAAATAATAACAATATTTAGAAATGAGAATATTTGATTTTGAATTTGTTTTGAATAATGATTTAAGTGTATATATAAAGGATAGATAGATATATATTAAGTATTTTTAGATAATAAAAAAAAGAACATATAATGTCAGTTAAAGAAACTAGATGCTTGAGATAAATTATATTAAAATATCTTTAATTAAGTTATACTGGAATCATCTTAATTTTGATAATGAATTAATTTTATATAAATTCAATCATGTTTAAATAATCTCAATACAAGTTCGATATGCTAAAGAATTATTTTGATATTAATTTTATAATTTGTGATTTCAATAATGCAATATCATGTTTCTAAATAAGATGTTTTAGGAACTCTCTAAGATGTCTTCTTATAAAGTAATCATCAATTGGAGAATTCAAAAAATTCTCATAAATAAAAGAAAGCTCCTTCTGCAATTAAAACCAAACTTGATTCCAGTACTAACAAAAGTAAGTTGGAGCGGTATTTGGAAAAGTACTAATGTATTAAAGTATAACATTTTAGAAAGAAAATTATTGTAAGAAGAAAATAATAGTTCCCTTGCATAATCTATTCAAAATACAAATAACATTAAAGTGCAATAAAAATTGAATGATAGTCAAACAGCCTATTCAAGTAAGATGAGTCTTCCAAGAGAATACACAGAAAATGATGATAAAGAATAATAATTAATAGGAGTGGGACTATCTCAATATATGTAATAATTATAGCAATCCAAGTTGCAAAGTGCATTTATCAATTAAGAATGTTAAACTGAATAATAAAAAGAATAAATAGATATTTAAAGTATTAATTAATCAGTTTAAAATAATAATGAATCTAGTATCTCTTAAGTTGATGAAATTAAATTATTGAACAGTAACCATGATCAATAGAATACTTATAATAAGAAGATTCATTTAAATCTTTAATTATGGACAGGATAACCTATAAAACAAGACTTTTCATGTTAATTTAATACTGAAATCAAACATAATTAATTGATAGAAAATTAGTAAATTATATAAATTTATCAAAACAATTAAGAAATTAAGATAGTACCTTAAAATGATTTTGAATGTTAATATAATTAATCTAATAATTAAATTAGTATAGATTTAGATGATTAATGCAAAAAGAATATTCGAATTAAAAATAGATGTCTGACGTCAGCTAATCAAAAAGATTAAAATAATCAATTTAATAGTAATGATAAAATAAATTTCTTAGAATAAGGTAAATCATTATTTATTATGTAGAATTATAATTAAGAGATGAGATGTTGAATACAAAAACATAAATTATTACTGATTTGTAATAATAATTAAATGATTGTTATCAAATTTTTAATAAGGAAAGTGATATTGAATAAGAGAATGGTTAATAAGATTTAAATTTATCTAGTGAAAATTGGAAAATAGATGAATTGAATCGATAATCTGATAATAATGAGGATATATAAGATTAATTAACATTACTTATGTTGAAATAAAGTGAGGAAATATAAGAATTAAAAAGAGTTCTTGATGAAGCAATTTAAGAAAAAGAATAATTGAAAGAGGAATAAGAAGAATTAATAATCTAAATTAATGAATGCAAATAATAATTAATTAATATGGAAGAAAGTAAAGTAAGAGAAATTGAATCACTTAATTAAGATTTTAAAGATAAATTATCTAAATAAAATATGATAATTGATGAATTACAATCTCAAATCTGTAGTATGTAAAATAGTCTAACTGACATTCCTTTGACTTCTATATAAACTAATACTCTACATAATCCTACATAAGAATAATCAATAGATGAGTGTGATTCCTTATCTTCTTAAGGTAATAATATAAAGACTAAGAATGTTCTTAAAAATATTAATAAAATGACTAATATGACTGCTGGTTGGATGTCTAACAAATAAGATTATGTTACTCTTGGAGTCTTGGGAAGAATAGATTAGATTAAGAGTTAAACTAAATTAGATTCTTTCAAAAAATTAAATTGATCAAAAATGAATACATATTTCAAATAGTTACATTGAATTATTCAATAATAATAAAATATATAAATATTATCCAATTTAAATGAATATCGAATAAGAAGATGATAATTGGATGCCTTTAGAATCCAATCCTTAAGTTATGAATGAATAAGCAGTTCAATTGGGTATAATATATAAATATTATAATAAGGTATTAATATTGAAAAAGCATAATTCCATGATTTATTGGGTTTTGAAGATTGGGCTTTCGAAATGATTCCTTAACCAATTTATGGAGTTTTGTTTAATTTTCCTATTAAAGAGAATACAAATCAATTCGTAGATTAAGAAGCAGCTTAAATTCAAGAGAAAGGGTATCACATATAGAATTATATAGTTAACATGTATCTCCAAATTTGTTCTATATGAAATAATTAGCTAAGAATGCTTGTGGTACTATAGCAATGGTTCATGTTGTTCTTAATGCTGACCAGGCTATTATTCAAGAGGGAAGTTATTTGGCTGAGTTTAAAAAGAATGTGTAAGGGAAGACTCCTTAATAAATTGGTGAAGCATTTAAAAAAGCTAAGGAATTGAAATAGGTTCATAAGGAGGCTGTTGAATAAGGGGAAAGTGCTTGTTGTGATGAAATTGATCGACATTTTATAGCATTTGTGTTAAGAGATGGTGATATATATGAATTAGATGGATGTAAAGTAAATTAGGATATTAAATTTATTAGTAATTCCCTATAAATCATGGAAAATCTACACCAGAAACATTTTTGCCTGATGTTTCAAAAGTGATCCAAAAGTTCTTTGAAAGAGATCCAAATGAAGTATCATTTTCGACAGTTGTTTTAGCAAAAGCTATATAAGAATGAGAATGCATATAATATATTAAAAATTATTATATCAATTGTACTCTTTTTATATAAGGGGATTCACAAATGGTTTAGATAAAAAATTTAATATGGCATTAGATTTTAGAGGCAAAGTTGTTATAGTGACTGGAGCAGCAAGAGGAATTGGTAAAGAGTACTGTAATTACTTTGCTGATCAGGGAGCTAAGGTTGTTGTTAATAATAGATGTAAAAAGGATAGTGAGAATTATCTATTAGTAAATGAAGTAATTAAGTTATAAATTTTTAGATAGTAAGAAACATTAATTTAAGGGGAGGGATAGCGATTGCTAATTATGATGATATTTTAGATGGTGATCACATAATCAAATAAGCAATCGATAATTTTGGTAGGATTGACATTTTAATAAATAATGCTGGTATTATTAAAGACAATGTTTTTGCCAAGATGAGTAAAGAAGAGTATGAAGATGTTGTTAATGTTCATTTAAATGGGACATATAAATGTTGTAAGGCTGCATGGCCATATATGATAAAATAGAGATATGGAAAGATAATCAACACTATTAGTGGCTCTGGTTTATATGGTTAAGTAGGTTAAGCTAATTATGCAACAGCAAAATCTGCCATTATTGGATTTTCTTTTAGTCTTGCTAAAGAGGGTGAAGAATTTAATATAAGAACTAATATATTATCTCCTGTGGCTGCATCAAGAATGACTGAGACTATTTTGCCTTAAGACATGCTTGAAGGTATCAATCCAAATAATGTTGCTCCACTTGTTGCTTATTTATGTAGTGATGATTGTTAAGAAAATGGTGCCATCTATGAATGTTCAGGAGGATTTATAAGTAGAGTAAGATTAGATAAGGAGCCAATCGATTTTCTTAAATGGTCAAAATTATGAACAAAATAATATCATTTAGAATACATATTCATATATAATTAATAATTCCATTATTAAATAATCTATATATTAAAATATATTTGTTTAATTATAAATATTTACTCAGGTTCATTTAAAATAAAATATATTTATATCATAAATAATAAAAATATACATATTATTTAAACTCTTAATTGTTTATATATAATTTAATATTAATTACATAACATAAATTGTATCTAATTTTAATATAAATTTTTATCAATTGGATTAAAATTATTATAAATATATTTAATTTCTATGTCTAAGAATAAAAAGAAATAGAATACCAAAAACAAGTAAGAAAATAATAAAGATTAAACTAAATAACAAGAATAAATTGAATCTGCATCAGATATAGATAAAAAAATAGAAGAATAAGAAATTAAATATGAATAAAGTAATGCATTTTTAATTATATAATTAGATAATTAATAAGAATTAGATAATTAGGAGACTATATAATAAAATTAGCAAACAACAAATGATTAAATAACATAGGAATAACCTTAAAATAATTTAAAACATGAATAAAACAATCAATTAGAAGAAATTCAAAATACCCATTAAGAATAAGAGAACGATTAATTAGAATAGTTTAATGATGCTTAACAATAAAAATAATAGGATTAAATAACTAATTAATAAGAATAAGTCTAAAATACACAAAGTGAAGTTTAATAACCTTCTTAATAGAAAGATTAAGATGAATAATAACAATAGAGATCTTCAATATAAAATGAATAAAGATCAGTAGAGACCTAACATTTAAAAGAAAAAATAGAACATGTTACTGATGGATCATCCAATTTGTAATCAGACAAAAATAAAAATCAGGTAGATCAACAAGTAAATAACACTTAAGGATAGAATTAACATGAAGAAATTAATTAGTTTAATGAACCAAAATTACATAGTCAACCTTCACCTGATTCTCCAAATGATGAAATTATGAAACCTTCTTCAAAACCTAATCCTAATGTCTCACTTTCTATACATGAAAATGAAGTTGAACATTCTGTAGAGACTCCAACTTAAAAACCTATGAATGAGATAGCCATTGTTTAGATTTAATAACATGAAGTTATTTTAAATGTTTAGGTTCCTATAATTGTTGAAAAGAGAAATGATTAAGTTATGATAGAAGGTGCTCCATAAACCTAGTTGAGGAAATAAAATGATGAAGTCGTTTTAGAGAGAGTCTAAGTATAAGAATAAAAAATGGAAAAATAAATTGAATAAACAAATATAGAAGTTTAACCAAAAATACATATAGAATAACATTAATAAATAGAATTAGAAAAATAACCATAAATGTAGTAATAAGTAATTATTGAAAAGACAGAAACATAAAGTTAAGTTTAAGTAGAAGTATAAAAAAATAGAAGTGAAATTTTTACAGAAGAAAAGACTTAAATGTAAACAGAAAATTCAAATGAAAATGTTTACTTATAATAAATACCAATTGTTTAATTAGAACATCATTAGAATGTTTCTATTGAACAACAACCGAATATCTATTTGGAATCAAGAAATTTAGATACTCAAATAGAGATATGTCCTTAAATTTAAATTCCACTTAATGCATAAACAACATCTCTTCAAGAACATCCAATTGTTAATTTAGAGATTAATCATAATATCCATCAAATACATCCTAGTCCTGATGTCTAATCAATACAAACTTAATAATTTAATTAAATAGAACATTAACCACATGTATCTGTTGAATAATAAGGATAAGCTTAATATTCTGTCTAAGCACCTTAAACAGAAGTCTAGATTAATTAGATTTAAAGTAGTTCTGAACCATAATAATAATTAAAGGTGGAATCTAATCAACTATAAACATAATTAATTTAAGAAGAAGAGAAAGTTAATGTGAAATAGGAAGATAAAACTCATATAGAAAATCAACCATCTCATGAAATAACTAATGTAGAGAAAAGAGAAATAATTGAATAGAAACCACTATTACAAACTGAATAAAATTCAAATCCTGTTGAAGTAAGTCATAATGATACAGTTAGAATTGAAGGATATTATGTTGATTAAAAAAATAATCAATTTAAATAATAAAAGTAAGTTCCTTTATTTGCTGACTCTCCAACACAATAAATTAGAGATTCAGAACCTTTATAGCCTTAAAATGATGCAGAACGATAATTCTTAAATAGGGCTTAGTCTGACATTCATTCATCTTAATCAAAAATATTTCAATAAGTACCATAAGAAGTTGGAGCATTAGGGTTATCTGTTGCTGCTGCTGCTGGTGCTTCATAATTTATTATGAAAAATGGAGTTAAATCTAAGGAAGGTTTATTTGCAGCTTTGGCTGGTTCAGCTATATTGTATGCTGGTTATAGATTATTTAAGTCTAAGAGTCAACAAAATTAATAAAGAGATTGAATTTTATATTAATAAAAATCAAAGTTCAATAAATAATTAATATGGACAAAAATTATATTAAAAATGAATAATTTAAAATTTGATTTCAATGTCTCTTGACAGAATGAGGAAAAGCCTTAAAAGCTTATTAGGCATTTAAAGCAATCCTCAAAATGAATAGCCTTCTTAAGTATCTAGACAAAGCCAATCAGAATATGTAATACACAAATCGGATTAAATTTTCAAAAACAAATTTGTTATTATTCAGAAGAAAGAAGATAAATTAAATCCCTATAAATATGCCATAGAGAGACTCAAAGAATACAACTTAACTATGTTTCGAACAAATGATCTATTAAACTGTCCTATAATATCATACAAATTTAATAAAGAAGAAGTATAATTGAACTATTATATTTCAAGAAGAGGATTCATGAAAACATAGTGACAAAACCAAGATGGAAGAAAGAAGAATCCTCTTAAGAAATGATCAATATTAAATCTGATGATGAAAGAAAAAGCTTTTTCTTCCATGCTTCATATATCAAAGATGAAAATAGATAGCCTAGTCAATCCAAATAAACAGCCAAAAAATCATAGATATCATAGTAAAATTTAGATTCTTAAGCAGAGTATAATTTTGAAAAAGAAAAACAGACTGTCGAAAATATTTCAAAATCTAATAAATAAAATGTATAGGAAGATAATAATTAAAGTGAATCTGAATCTATAATTATTGATAAGAAATCAGAATCTAAATTTAAAAAAATTAAACCTTAACCTTAAGAAATTATTTTGAATAAAGATTAACAATATATATCTGGAAAAAATGAAATTCAAAATATTGATGATATTTAAACATCAAAAAAACCAACTATATAAAAAAAGGATGTATAAGAAAAACTACCAGAAATATAAGTATCATAATAAGTTTAAATAATTCCAATTAAAGAAGATCAGAAGACAGAAGTTATAGAAAATAAATAGTAATAAATAATAGAACCATAAGTAGAATAAAAAATAGTACCATAAATATCAAATTAAGAATAGATTACTCCTGATATAAATCCTTTTACATAAAATATTGAAAACCAATTATTTAATCCACCATGGCTTGATAATACCATACAATAATAGAATCAAGTGTCTTTCAATTTATTTTAATAGCCATTGATTTAATAATAATAATCTTAAATGCAACCATTAATAATGTAACCACTATAATTTCAGAATCCTATTTAATAATAATCACAAAATTTATTTCCTTTTTAAAATTAATAAACATAGAATGTTTTTTCTAATTAAAATTTATTCAATTAATAGCCAAATCTATTTTAAAATAATTAATAATCTCAATAGAGTTTTAATTTATTTAATTAAACAAATCAATTTTAGTAATAACCATTATTTTAGTAATAATCAACATAATCATTGTTTTAGTAATAACCCACATCATCAGAATCTTTCTTTTAATAATAACCATCAGCAATATCTTTATTTTAACAATAACCATAATAATAATAATTATTTTAATAGTAACCTTCAACATAATCAATATTTTAATAATAATAATCATCAAATAATTTATTCACTTCATAACCATAAAATCAATTATTTTAATAACATAATCAATAAACAATAAATTTATTTGCAAATAATGATTCAAAGTAAAATGTAGTAGATTTATTCTCAGCCTAATCAGTCCAAAATACACCTAATTTATTTTAACAAAATTAAGAATCCTTGTTTTCATTAAATACATAATAATAATCAAATAACACTGCTTAATTACGAGCCTATTCTCATTCTGATAGATACAAAAAGAATCTTAGTAAGTATACAACTGAAAGAATAGAATGAAACCAATTTTGTTTATAAAACATTCAATTTTATAAATAAATATTATATATATATGTATATAACTATTGTTTTATTGAAAATCCAACCCTATTCACTTCTAATAATAATTTATATTAAATTTTTTATTTCATATGTTTTCAATTAATATTATAAAATGACACATTTAATAAAGGACACCTTTTATAAGGAAAAACTTTATTAGGTTTCTCTTTCCTCTTTTTCCTTTGCTTAAGAGCAAGCAGGAAAGTAAAAAGAAGCCAAACAACCTATTTCAGAAGAAGTTTTAAAGAAAGCATTAAGTACATATGGTAAAACTGCTGAAGGATAACATTATGCTTATTTGAGTTTCATGGCTAATAATTTAGACTTAACTAGTTTACATGTATTACTTACATATTTATTCTGAATAGGGGATTGAGTAATTTAAACATCTTCAACATATTGATGTTAGTAATAACTCTATTAAATCACTCAAACCATTAAATGGATTAAAATATATAATTACATTAAAGGCTAGTAATAACAGATTGACAAAATTATTAGACTTAAAGTATTTGATTATTATTAATAAGACATATTCCATTATAAATAATGGATGTAGATTGTAGTAATAATGAAATTGAAATTATTCCAGACCTTGCTTGTCATCGTTTTCTTCGTTATTTGAATCTCTCTAATAATAAAATAAGACAAATTGAAGGAGTTTAAAAAAATAAGTACTTATAAGTTTTGAAATTGGCTAATAATCATATTGATCATATTGAAAATTTAGATGGAATGAATTTAACAGAATTGGATTTATTTGGAAATGAGATTACAATCTTAGATGGTTTAACTTAATTACCAAAGTTGAGAAAACTTGAACTCTCTTAAAATTAAATTAAGAGTTTAAATGGAATTGTTGATCTATTATCAGTAAGAGAATTAAGAATTGCAAATAATAAAATTTCAAGGATCAAAGAATTATCTTATTTAGAAAATTTGGTATTTCTTAGTGTTCTCGATCTTTGTTACAATCCAATATAAAATAGAAGATATTACAGATGGCAAGTTTTATATAAATTACCAGGTTTAAGAAATCTTGATGGTGTATAAGTGCCACCAGAAGATATTGTTAAGGCAGAAAATCTTTATGGAATGGATTTAGAAGATAGAAAGAGAATATTTAAAGAAGTTTTACCAGATGAAGAATTTATAGATAGAAGAATACATATTTCTGAAGTAAATATATATATTAAAATATTACAGTTAATTGAACCAGAAACAGAAGATGAGAATGAAAATTAAGAATTTATTGATTAATACGATAAAGCAGGTAAAATGATGTAAAAATAAACAAAATCTATGGGATCATAAAAATCAATCAGTGAAATGGTATAAATTTATGATTATCTATTTAGTATCATTCTAATAAGAGTTTATAAGAAAGAGAATATTAATGAAAAAGAAGTATATTATTAGATTTTTTGTAAGATTATTATTATAAATATAATAATGATAGTCAATGTCATTATTTTTAATTAAATTCTATTCATTATTCCATATATCAAAACCCTTTTAATGTTGAAAGATTTCCTTTTTAACAAAAGTATAGTTTTCCATTAACAATTTCAAATGTATCATCCTATTTCATTGTAGAGTATAATAGATCAGATTATGTAATTTACATTCTTTATGGTTAGAAGGTTCTCTATTATTCTGTTGATTAGATTATTTTATTCCAATCTTTAAATTAATTAATAATTTTTTGTTCTCCTTCAATAAATTCCAGCATCTCATAATAAAATTATTTCCTATATATGTATTAAATAATAAAATTACATATTATATTTATCTAAAAAACAATAATACATATGATCCCATATTTCTTTAACATTTTTTTCAATCATATCAAATTCAGAAACAAATATTTCATAATTTTTATTAATATCTATATGATAAATTTAATATTCATTTCTTTAGGTGCTCAAAAATCTAAAAATATTAAAATTAGTAATTACCTTCTTGTAATCTTTAAACAGCCATCATCTAATTGTATCTTTAATTCAAATTTACCTGTAATTATTGGTTTATTTATAATATTGAGAAAATATTAAGGAAATTTGATATGTTAATATTTCATAGCTCTTCTTAATAATTTAATTGATGGATGTTCTAAACCAATAAATAATGAACCCATACAACATTTTGCAATTTTATGAATCATCTCATTTGTTGCATAATTATCAATAGTACCTTATAATAATAACTCTGGATATATATTGGGAAATTTATATCTTGGATTAACATAATGATATAAATTAATTTCTTCTTATGATGAATTATTTGTATTAAATAGATAATAGTATAATTTATTAAGTGATCTTTCCATAATAATATTTTTCTAATCATCTTCTGCAACTAATACATAAATCTTTCTTTATAGATTATCTTCTATTATTGTAAATAAATAATGAATAAATTCATCTGTTAATTTACTTTAGTAGAATATTAATGATTAAAAATGTATTTTATTGTTATTACCTTAAGCTAATATATAATTATATTTCTTAAATTCATATGGACATATCAATCCATTTAAATTTACATTCAATCCAAATGTGCTCAATATACTATTATCTTCTTAAACTTTCATTTTATAATAATCTGGATTTTCTGAAGAATAATATATATCTTATATTATTAATTAAGCATTTTATAATGATTAAGTTAGAAGATTTATACCATTTCCTTGTATAAATGGTAAATTAAAATAAATATTAGAATCTTTAAAAACCTTGTTAGATTGAAAATCACTTTATATAAAGTAATCACAAGGAAATAATTCAATAGATCTTGTATTATCCCTATTAATTTCATCTTTAAAAGTTTCTTAAAGGATTTTGATAATCTCTCTTTTATGATAATCAAATTTCTTAACAACTTCTTTATAAGGCTTTTATAATTCAATAAGTAGAGAATCTTAATAAAAATCATAGATAATCATTAAACTATTATCATAAATAATTTATCTAATATAATTTGAAGGCCAAAATGTACTTGTAAATTTACAAATAGCTTTAGTATTATAAAGCAATTTCAATCCTTAAAATTAAGGTTTGATTCTTAAAATGAATTCAGGATCAAATGAAGGATTATCTTTAATAATACTTGATGAAGTTATTAATGAATTAACAAATTGATTAGAATCTCCAAAGACGAGAAAGTCAAAATCAAATAATTTACTATCACATTTAACTTGTATTTTATTTTTAATTTTAATTGATTTAATAGATTTAATATCTCTTACAAATTCTTTCCATTAAAATTCATTATTAAATATTATTGGTTAATTTAAGTAATTACTAATTAGATGTTATTTAAGTTATTTTACAGTTGTAAATTCAGTTAATGCATTTTATGTTAAAAATAAAGCTATATCTTAATTGATAATTTTAAAAGCTTATTCTTCATCATGATTTTCTAAAATATTGGCTAATGTTTGAAACATTGATTAATCATAATTTGGTTTATAATCACGAAATTGTATTTGTTCTTTTGGAAATACTTTTAAACATAATTTATTTTGCAAATAAGTTGGAGAATATAAATATTTTGGTTCATCTTCACTTCTAAAAAGAGTTACATTGAAGTGTAATTACTTACAATATTGATATAATATATGATTTCTCCAAGTTTATCCAATTATAGCAATTCTTTTATGTTTTAAATTCTCTTTGAAATTAATCATTTTATCTATATATAAAGACATATATTCAAATTCAAAGTGAAAATTTATAAAATAATATAATATTAAACTATGTATTGCATCCTAATATTTCTACTTTAAACTATTACTCAAAGAATTTAATATAATAGTTAATTCTAATTTTGAACTAGAATTTACAATAATTGATCTTAAACATAGATATTCATCTGCAAATATTTATAGTTTCTTCATTAATTAAAATTCTTAATCATTTAATTATAAAGGATGTAATTTTTCTAGAAGAGATTTCTAAAATATAGGATATAAAGTAATTTCATTTGATAATTTATGATCAAATGGTATTGGAATAGAGTAATTCAATTATCTAATTTAAGAGATTTTTAATTTATATGGAATAGATTTAAGAATATATTTCCAAAGATCATTTTCTTCTATTTCTTAAAGATTACTAAAATTCAGATATTAAATTATTACCCTCTTGATTAGACTTAAAAATTCAATATAAATAAATCTATATTGGTTTACACTCGATATAATTCTTAAAATCTGATTCTGAGTTATAGCATTTTCATGGGGTCTAGAAAATATATCATTATCTCAATTAATTTATTTGTTGTAATGCTGAATTAGGTTCATTAGTTAAACACAATTTTAGAATGATTTTTGTTATTGTACAATATTGTTTAATAATAAATTAATAATCATTTGATTTATAATTTTTATAATATTCTAGGAAATGATGATCTTCTTTTCATCTTCTATTCTAATTTTTTTATTTCCCACCAAGTCAATATAATTGCAGAAGTAAGTATTATAAAGGAAAACAAAATTGTTATTATTACTAATTTAATTTTAATTTATATTTACAGAATATTTTAAAGTAAAAATATGTTTTTGTTATTCCAAATTGTAATAATACAGTTATCCATGGTTCAATAGATTCATAAATATAACCATTACATGGAATTTATGAGTTATCTAAAACTAAAGTACTACAAAATGAGGAATCTCAATACATATTCTCATATGCTGATAAAACTTTTTAATAATTATTTATTCCTTTTTCAATCTAAGTGTTTTTGTATTCTGAATCAAAACATGTTAATTAATGTCTCTATTATTGAACCTCGTGTTCATAAAGCTCATATTAATTTTGATATCTAAAAGTTAAATGATCAAATCTAGCAGAAGAAATAGGATATTGATCAATAATTCCTGCATAGAAGATTTTTATATCTTTTGAATCTAACTCAATATGTGTTTTAACAAAATCATCATGAATACCTAGATT